TTTCCCTGACAAATAATGTCCTTAACACAGGCATTGAGGGAGAGGTTAGCGCTGAGGATATTACGGGGAGAGATATGCCGGCAGAGGGGGCCAGCAGGGTGCTAGTTATCATACCAGGCAGACGTGAAAGCGCCATCGCCAATCTGGGAGACAATGAAGTCTCGAATCTTATCCCGCATGCCCAGGATCTTCCTCCAACCCCAACCAACATCGCTGCGAATCGGGGCATCCCCAAAATCTGCATGCGCATAGTCTAAACTTTCTCTGCTTTTGTGTTTGCTTGACTTTAAATGAACTAGTGTGCTCTACCGTGCACACGATGCTCCTAAAAATCCATGCAAGGCTTCTTCAAGTTCTTCAACAAACCTTCTTTACCAAGAAAATTTAGACCCTTTTCTGACATATGCTCAAGCCGCCTATGTCATAACCAAATGCTCTCATGGGTCTCCACTACTATCATTTGTTCCAATTGTTGCACTTTCTATCATCATTGTACCCAAAAGAAATAAAGGTTGACTGAATGAATACCTTTCATTACAACTAAAGAACCGTGAACAACCTTCTTTACTTCATCTCATGTAACTATCTTACACCCACCAGGGTCCAAAGCACCAACAGAAATGACTGCAACTCTAGAACATATATTACATCCAACAAAGTCCTAACGACTCCATCATGCATTTTAGTATAACTGATCCCGATCGTTTTGTGTGAACGATTATTTCCCATCACCATGTTTCCACCATTTATTAGTAAACCACATATGGTATGAGCAACTTGAATCAAGAATCCACTTACAGGAGATTTCTTCATCAAAAGTGATGAAGTAACAATCATTGTTACTTCCATCTCCCGAAGAATAACTAGCATCTTGATTCTCTTGTGCATTTCATCTATTGTTTTCGTCTTTGTTCCATCTTATATCTTGTCAAGACAATTTGCTTTATAATACCCGAGTTCACCATACTTGAAACACCGTCTTTCCGCAAGAGGTCTAGATTTTGACATAGACTCCCTTCCCTTGCCTTTTCCTCTCTCATTGTTTCTACCTCTTGCAAACAATCACTATGCTTGTTCTTTGTTACCACTAGCAGCAATCGTGTCACCATTTGCAATATTTTGAAGATCATCCGCTAGAATTGACGCTCTAGTCTCATCCATGGTAAGACTCACGCACAAACATTAATGTTTGCACAAGATTCTCGTAAGACTTCAACAATGAAAGAAGTAGTAAAAGTGCTTAATCCTCAGCTTCTACCTTCACATCATTGTCCTTTAAATCGATATAGACCTACCAAATTTACTAATGTGTTCCTGGTTTGGTAAACCTTTATCCATTTTGCAAGTAAATAATTTTGACTTCAAGTACATCATATTCGTTAGATTTTTTGTCACAAAATTTGCCTCCAACTTTTGCCCCACTGCAACCATCAATGCCTCATGTTGATCCTCTCTCTCATTGATTTGATGATAATCCCTTTTACCTTTCGAAGTATTATTGTTTCTGTCTTTTCAGTTCTAGCGATCATCACTAAATTTGTTCAGTGATCGTTGAAACACGCATTGTAATCCTACAGCGACTGCGATACTTCAAAAAGACAAAACTCACACCCAAGAACCTTCAGTGAATGCCAAAGATTGAAACTGAAGATTAGTGACGGACGCGTTCATGATCTAAAACGGTATTCAATGATTACAATCTAGTCAACATATGTGTGAAGACTGCACAAGCCTCAATGAATGTTGAAGAGACCTCCAGTGTTATTCCAGCATTCAGCGATCAAATGGAGCTTGCCATGCACGATTGTTTTTGTCTTGTTCTTCCACACACAAAAGACAAACCTATACCCTTTCAAGAGTATAGTATTACACGGAGCCGACTAGTCGAATCTAGTGCCCACCAACTCCATGAAAGGATGTGTGTTCATGAATAGACAATTGTACTAGTCACTATTGCAAAGGACAAGCTTTCCTCTTAAAGCTTGACGTGTGTTCTAACCCTTCTTATTTGCATTTAATGCAATGGGTATAAATAGTTGAGTGTTCTCCTCATGCACAACATCTATCTCTACAACACACAAAAGAACACGTACGCTTATCTTCAAGCAAGTTAGAATTTCTCTCTAAATTCTAAAGTTCTTACCCAAGAAGAACTTCTTTCTGTCTTATCTTTTCGGCAAATTTCTTATATTTGCTAAGTATATTTGTGTGTAATCTTAGATTGTTTTTAGATAGATCATCTTTACCTTTTCTATTTCTGCAAATAATCCGTAAAAATCTGTATTGATCATTCTATATCAATATATATTTTTAAATACGAAAGTTTTATGTGTTTGTATTCATCCTCCCCCCCCTTCTACAAACTGTTTCTCTAAACTCTTGTAGACCCGGCTGGGACCAACACCACATCATCAACCAAGAAAGCAACATCCTTTTCAAGGCATAAAATGATTGATGTTCCTGCTTGAAGATCTAACTCCTCCCAATCCTCATCGGACATATCTTTGTGCTTCTTTGCCTTACCTGCCAAAGCCTTGTGTAACTTTTATGAGATTATCAAATTTCTCATTTGCATCCTCCAATAAGAAAAATCACTCTTCTCAATTGAATTTCTCTAACTCATACTTCCCAATTTTAACCGTTCTGCTTGTAGAAGTCATTTACCCATTTGTTTCAGAATTTGTCTCTCTCTAAACTTCTATCAAACACCTTGTGTGCACCACACAATACACCACCTAAAACACCTCAAATCTAAGCTCTACCACCCAAAATTGATATTAGGCTCTAATAACAATTGTCGTTCAGCAGAAAAACCAGAGTAGAAGAAACTGAAACCAAACAACGTGGTTTCCCAATCTTTCTCAAACCGAAACAAGCAATGACGATAACCAAGCAATCAAAGTAAAATAAAGAGTAGAGACAATGCAATAAAGATTTACTTGGTTCTGCAAGATTGTCTACATCCATACCAGAAAAGAGTCCTTTTGTATTAGGTTAAGAATCACCTCCTTTTCCCCTTTACAAGATATCAGCATTCTTTCTATCTTCTCACATTTCTATCTTCTTTACCGCTCTCTTCTGAACGAGCTTACATATACAAGAGAATGAGCCTATTTGACTATGAACCAAGTCTTGGGCTTTTTAACTAAACAGAAAGTTATTCCTGCATAAGACGTGCACACACCTTATGACAAAATGTTTATGTCTAGCTCTTTAATATACATAACATACTCCTTGAATAAGGTGTGCCCTCGCCTTCTTACAGGACGCCTTCTGTCCAACACACTTACACTTTTATTTTTTTATTTTTTAATATATCTGGATTGGTCTTCTAAAAAACACATAAATTATTTACTAAAATATTCTATATATTTATCATATCCTAATATAAATTTTTAAAAGTACATAAAATAATAATGCATTCCATTGATGAAAAAAATATTAAATGATCTCTTTCTCCTCAATTTTAAGTTTTATAGAATTATTTAAATTTTGAGTTCTATTTTAAATAATAATATAAAAAATTTGTTGAAACAAAATAAACAAATAAAATATTTATTTTCTCTATTTTAAAAAAATATTGCTCTTGTTATTTCCCCCACTGAAACCATTTTTGTAAATAGACACTTGGATTACTCCCAAAAAAATGAAGTAAAATACTATTTTTGTCCATTTATTGGTTATAACTATTTGCATGGTCGTTCTTTATTTTGATAATCTAATAAAAAAAGGGTTAAATGTATGAAATAATAACCTACTTTCATAAAGTTTCTTCTATTTTTGTTTTTCTTTATTATAGCAATTTTTTTTCAAATTTTTTTTTATTAAGACATCGTACTTTAGAAAATCTGCCCATAATAGCAATGACTAACCTGTTACCTTCTAAACTAGTTAGCTCATTGATTTTTTTGCTTGTGTGGCTTTAATGAGGTGATGTAAATGATACATCATTTTATCATTTTGATGACTTAACTAAAATTAAAAAAAAAAACATATTTCAAATTATTATTAGTGATTTTCATTTTTCATTGCTATGATTTCAAAAATATTTAATTTTTTTTTTTTACTTTTCTTACTAAGTTGCATGCAAAATAAATTTTCCTAAAGTAAAATATTTCTTACATAAATATGAAACATTATTTTCGAGATATATTTTGTTTGTAAAAAAAGTAACACTTCTTATTTTATGTTGTTCAAATAAATACATATCTTTTAAAGTTTTCTTTATAATGTTAACGAAATAAATTATGATCTACAAATTTTAATTATTGTTATATTAATAAACAATTCAAAAAAATAAAATTAATTTAATATATCTATTTTTTGAACAAATATAATATATTCTTTAAATAATAATATTTTTTGGTAAAAAGGGAACAATTCTAATTTTTTCTTCAAAAAACACATATTTTTTTAAAAGTATTAGTGAGATAAGTTGTATTCTACTAGTTTTATTGATATTGGTATATTAATGAATAATTTAGAATTTTTTTAATTCATTTAATATATTTATTAAATAACATGTAGAATATCTAAATATTAAAATTAAAAATACAATGTTTAATAAGAATTAATAGATGTTATAATAAAATAATTTTGAAAGTACAATGATGTAGTAAGAAAATCACATCACTATAGTACATGTGGACAGCCTACATGGACAACAAGGTGGCATAGAAACCTGATATAATGAGTAAATTTAAATCAAAAGGTTACCCAATACTGTAATGGGTAAATTTTTCAAGTAATAAGAAAAACTGAAATTAAAATATTACGATAAAAAAAATTATGGAAGTGCTCGCATTCGTTCAAAGTCAAAACTTTCTTTTTCATGTTTGATGAGACTGCACTCCTCACTCGTATCAAGAAACTGCAGGTATATTCTCTGCAACTCCCTTTTTCCCAGTTCTAAAGCAATGGCTTTTAACCTTCTATAGTTGTAAGATATGCATTAAAGATCGTAAATTTGAGAACCCATTTGATGTTTTTGCAGATTAAGACTGGATGGGAGTTTTCTTGAAATACTGAGATAAGATGGAAAAATGGCGTTAAAGAGATACATAGAGATTGATGTTTTGACTTTTTCTACAGTCAAAACTGACAAATCTTTAGCCAACAACAGTTTGTGAGAAATGTGAATCTTGATTGTCGATTCTTCTGTAAATTCATTATCCACTGATGGGTGTTTGTTTCAGTTCTGAGTATGATGAACAACATCATGCTTTCCAGACCAAGAAAGGTATTTTTCCACATTTTTAAGTCAAATTATTGATTCTTGTAAGCATGTTTATGTGCATTCTTGAGTAGATTTGTGAAGCAAAACTGGATATTGAAAATGGTTCATACATGGAAAGTAAAATAATGGGTTGAACCTGTTGATTAGTTTTTGCTCTTACATTTGGGTTGGAGCTTATTTGTACATCCCACTTTCAGAACATACTTTTGGATGGAATGTACACTTTTTCAGACCCTACTTGTGAATTAGATACACATTTTCCATACCCTACTTGTGAATCAGATACACATTTTCCATACCCTACTTGTGAATCAGATATAAAGACCCTACTTTTGAATGAGATATAATCTTTCATACCTTACTTTTGAATGGGATATACATCCTACAGACCCTACTTTTGAACATCTTTCATACCTTACTTTTGAATGGGATATACATCCTACAGACCCTACTTTTGAACAGGATATATACATTCTCTAAGCCCTACTTTTGAATGAGATATGCCAGGGTTTGTTTTGATTGGTTTCTGGTAAATGAAATTTTAATATGTTTCAGGTGAAATTGGACCACATCTAACCAAAGAAAGATGTACATCCCTGATCAAACCAAGCAACATGGAGTTACCTCATACAGCAAGTCCTAGATATGCAATGGTGATCACCAAAGATGTTAAAGATCTTCGGGAGAATCCTGGATACAGTAATCTTGATATCTTTACGTACGAAGAGATGCGAATTGCCACCAATCTGTTTCGACCATATCAAGTTTTAGGTCAAGGTGGTTTTGGGATCGTTTATAAAGGTGTTATAGATGAGAATGTGAGACCTGGTTATTCCAAAATACAAGTTGCCATTAAGGAGCTTGATCCAGAAGGAATCCAAGGTGATGGGGAATGGCTGGTATGTGCTTCTATCTGTGTTTCTTACTTTGTCCAACATCTTTCTTGAATTGCGTTTAAATCTGTCCATGCTCACGCCCATTAACGGCAAAGATTGGGTCCTTTGAATAAATGACTTTTTAATTATGAGAATGATCTTTTATTTTTTCATTTTTAGCTCAATGACCTTCGTCTGATCTGGTAGAACAGTCTGCTCCCGCAAAAGCTCAGAGATACACTAGAAGGTTATTTTGCAAAACCAGCTTTTGGAGAAGGTCGTTGAGCTAAATAGCCTAAAATGGGCTATTTAACTAAATGACCATATGTGAAAGTCATTTTTAAGTTCATTTTCAAGATTCTATGAGCAGCAGATTGTTTTACATTGCGTTTAACACTGCAGACAGGTTATTTGAAGGTTATTGAGTTAATAAAAGAAACTTAAGGGTGTTTAACACTAAAGATCATTTGAGGGTATAAGAGGAAATATGAGGAGCTGTTTGGTGAAATAGACATCATCAACTACCAAGATTGAATCACAGCACAAGTAGCATGGAGTTCTGATTGGAACCTGCCTTTGGAGTTAAACACCCTGCCTCCCTGTAAAATCTTACTAGAATGTTAGTTTGTAAAGGTGACCTCCATAGAAGGTTATATAACAAAATAGCCCCCTTACCGAACTACTTAAAACCATCAGCTTATCTATTATTTAAGATGGTTGAGAAAGACATGTTTGGAATGCTAGTCGTTGTTCTTTCTACTTGTTTGCTCGTGCTCTTGCACAAGCTGACAGTGTTCATGGAATAGTCTCTCTACTCTTTGGGGTAAAGGACAGGTCTGTGTTCATCTCACCCCCATACCCTACTTTTTCTACTTTCGACTGAGATTTTCTTCTTTTGAAGTATATAATATTTATATACGGCAAATGTAACAAATAAACTCACACACCCTCCTCACCTTTGATGAGGTTTGAACCCCTGACCTCCTAGGAGGCCAAGGACTACGATACCGCTAGGCCAAAGACCCTTTGGTTCGACTGAGATTTATTGTGTCAGTTTGGTTTGGTTTGGTTTTGTTTATGATACAATTCAATTGGAAGTTGAACCAAATAGGCCTAATGATAGAGTTTTATTGAATGTTTTCCAACAGTTAGAGCAATTGAGATCTCTTTACAATGAGTTTCTTTTAGAGAATAACCACCACCCCTACAACTGACCCCTCCACTCTATCTTATAGTGACCACTTGCACTCCTGATATCATCAGCAACTAACAACTCTACTTGCTTCACTTACTTAAAAGACCCGTTACCCTTTCTTTATTCTTCTCCTGGAATATGTAATTCTAAACCTGTTCGTATCAGTTTACGACGTCAAGACCATGCAACATACCATGTTGCTGCAGCTTTCAGAAGCGTGAAGATTTCAATTGTCTAATATGTTCTTATATGTTTTCCAGGCTGAAGTCAACTATTTAGGACAGCTGCAACACACTAATGTAGTGAAGCTTATCGGTTACTGCTGTGAGGAAGATCACCGCCTTTTAGTGTACGAGTATATGGCATTTGGCAGCCTGGAAAATCACCTTTTTCGGCGTGAGTACCTAAACAATCATCAAAATTTCTATATAGACATAAATCAACATGTTTATTAGGATGGAGTTGGTACGCGGAACATGATGGTAACAAAAACTTGTCCAACATTAGACTAGCCTATGTGGGACAAAGATGCAATTCATTGCTGTCCCACCAAAATAGGTAGAATAAAAGTGAGGGAGATGAGACAAGATTGGTAAGTTACTAAACTACCCCTGTCAAATTAAAACCCTAATACCTTCCAAATTCTTTCACCCGCTTACCTCAATCTCGCTCGTCGTGTCCAGTTCAGCCCATGTACCAAAAGCACCCTTAGTATCTGCGCTTTTGCTATTAGTGAATCCATGCCAAATCCAAAAGAATGGACTGAGATAAAGATTCACCTATAGTGTCATCATTGAAGGGTATTTTGGACATTTAGTAATAGTCAAACAGTTAATCAAACTACAAGGCAAGGATTGCAAGTTAATATAGAAACTTTAAGAAACTGATATTATGTCATGAGCCCGATTGCTGTTTACTTACATTCTACATATCCTTGTGAAAAAGGAGTATCTGCTACACTAACGTGGTCGAAGAGAATGAAGATAGCTTTGGATGCTGCAAAAGGGCTTGCTTTTCTTCATGATGCAGAAAGGCCTGTTATCTATCGAGATTTCAAAACATCAAATATCTTGTTAGATGCGGTTGGTCATACTAACTCTCTCTACCTCATAAGTTGAACTATGTTTTATTAAAGAAAAATACGGAAGTATTTAGAACAAAAGTGCTCCATGATATTAGCCTATTAGGAGGTTGAAAACTATTAGCAGCCCCGGACAGACCCTACTTTCAAGCGGGATATATTGGGTTTCGTTTCATTTGGTTTGGTTTGGAGACTATAAGCAGTCTCCAGACCATGATTTCAAGTGAGATATACTTGGATCTGTTTGGTTTGGAAACTATTAGCAGTCTCAGACTGTGCTTTCAAGTGAGATATACTTGGTTCCGTTTGGTTTGAAACTATTAGCAGTCTTCAGACCAAGCTTTCAAGTGAGATATACTGGGTTCCTTTTGGAAACTATTAGCAGTCCCCGAACCTTGCTTTCAAGTGAGATATATTGGGTTCCATTTGGAAACTGTAAGTAGTTCCCAACCCCTGCTTTTGAGTGAGATATACTGAGTTTTGTTTGGTTTGGTTTCAAAACAATAGCATTCACTGCACAAAATTTGACAACTCACCTGAATGTTGCTTTAAGTCGGTGCTTGCTGCATAAATTTGTGAATTAATAGTTGATAATATATGCTATTTTCCTATTTCTGATTGCAAAAACGAAACTTGCAGGACTTCAATGCAAAATTGTCGGATTTTGGGCTTGCGAAGAATGGGCCGATTGGAGAACAAACTCATGTAACGACGCGAGTTATGGGCACTTACGGATATGCAGCTCCCGAGTATATCATGACGGGTGAGTCATAAGCTACCCTAAACTAGTCATGGATATAGCATTTCTAACAGTTTCTTTGTAATTTCTCCAAACTAAAGACATTTTATTTTGATGTAATGATCAGGACACTTGACAGCTAGAAGTGATATATATGGCTTTGGAGTGGTGCTTCTTGAGATGTTGATTGGGAGAAAAGCCATGGACAACAGCAAGCCTAGCCATGAGCACAACCTGGTCGATTGGGCTAGACCGCTCCTAATCCACGAAAAGAAACTTTTGAGAATACTCGAGCCTAAAATGGAAGGTCAATACTCATCCAAGATCGCTCTCAAAGTTGCCAATTTGGCTCACCAATGTATTAGCCAAAACCCAAAAGGTAGGCCAGATGTAGGCCATATTGTTCAAGTACTTGAATCTCTTCAGACCAACTAGGTTGGTCTGAAAGAGGCTCGTGTTCAGACTTGATGAACACAAAGAACAATGAAAACAAGCTCCCGAAGGGGACTTGGTAAAAGCAGGAGTTGTTAAGAGATGAACTCAAGTTTATGCATGCTTTGTTGATCTGGTTAGTGGAAGTTTTCTACCAAAAGAGAAGTCTCTTGATATGCTGTTAGCTTTTCTTGAAAACAAGCATGTAATCCCGCATTTCTTTTCTAGAACTAACTGGACATTTGATCTTGCCAGTATTAAAATATGCAGAGCTGGAAGTTAAAATTCAAAAAGAATAACATAACTAAAATATAACCAAAAGGGTCAACCAAGTTATTGGTAAAGCCCAGTCTTCCAGGATGTCAAAGGTTGTTCAAATCTCATTAAAGATGAAGAATGTGCATGAGTATTTTCCCTATACAAATACTTCAAAAAATGCAGTAATAGAAATATTTATTGCAAAATAGAAGATAAAACAAACATTGAACTTAGAATCATTGAACTTGTATAACGATCAAAAAGTATCAAAGGTTGGAACCAAGAGAAATAGGGCCATCACGCGATGGGTGATGTCCCGGACCATACTTTTGGGTGGGATATACTGGTTTGGTTAGGGATTTGTCATCTCCTTTTTGGTTGTTTGGTCCATTTCCAGCTTAACCATTCATAATCGGTTGCAGTCATAACTGATCCCAAACAGGTTCCTGTTTTTCCCTATAACTAGAATTCACCACAAGCACTCAACCACAAACATCTAATGAGCAAATACTGGGGACTCATAAGCATCCAAAGCTACAACAAAAAGTCATCATTTTCCTGCATAAGAAAATTCCAAGTCACATTCTATTATCTTTTTCCAGTTACCAGTAAACTTTGAATTGAAATGAAGTGTTAAAACTATATATATTTAACCATATAGAAAGGGTTAGAATAGAAACATTCTAAAGATGAATAATATAACAAAATTATACCGTCAATTTTGCATTTGGAAAGTACTTTGTTTAAATCCTTAAAATAAAAAAATGCAAAAAATGTGGAAGATTTAAGAAAAGACCAACAAAATTTGAATATGGACCCTTTCCGGTGACATGGGTGAATTAAAATTGTGAGTCACTATTCAGCCATATGAGCTATTCAGGGTGAGTTGAATGGGGACCCTTTTCAGATAAACTACACAATTACGTATTAGAAAATTTTGCTATACAGCCATACAAGTAAATGAAGATGATTCCTTACCCCAAAAATTTTGCAGCTTTATCACTAATTGTGTTATAGATCTTCTCGCCATAGCATTTGGAAACTCCATGTTTACAGCCTCCTCAATCGCACACAAGAATTCCCTTCGTGTTTTTGCAGTGAGGACAAGGTGGTTTGGTCCATGTACACTAGACAAGTCCACCATCTAGATAACGAGAAACTTTAGAGACTAGTTCCACTAAACCAAATATTGAAAAAGGATACTTGGGATACAATTATACCACCATTGTCTAATCAAAATTACAATATTTGACTTGAGACTTGGTATAGATAAAGGATTTGACCATTTATCAAGTATCTAAAAGTGTACAAAAGATGTTACACAAATAGGTTTAGGGTTGGGTTCCACTGAGAAAGGAAGTTATGGTGAGAAGCATAAGAAGAGATCTCCACCCTTGGATCAATCCTAATTGAATGTTAATACTAATGAGGTGCACCGAGATGCATCGGATCAATTCCCTTCTAAAGCATGATTCGTGGGTGAACATGAGATTAAAAGTGATCAAGCGTTCATATCTCTTCTTACCATCTTAACTCCTCATTTCACATGATCCTTCGCCAATAGGGTTAATGATAATGTCCATGCATGTCTCTGAGTCAAACTAAAGTTACCAATTTAACCAATGAATGATCACGTGTCATGATGATAGTGGGTAAATAAATACATCCTCCATCCCAAAATAAATGTCCACAATGAAAAAGATATACATTTTAAAATCATGTACTTATTACACTTTTCAATTGACTAAATGACAATTTTACCCTTGATAATAGAGGGAGTAATGAATTTATCTATCTCATAACTAAGGGTAGAATTGGAAAACAATCACTTAGGAGCCGTTTACTAAACACTTATCCGGACAAGCGCTTACCAAGTCACATTACCTTAAGAACGAAAGAATATAAGAAAGACCAAATATCTTACCCGGTAAGAACGAAAGCAAGGACAAATAGTCTTACGTGGTAAGTGAGGAAGACTACTTTTCCCATGGATAGCGCTTACATGGTAAATTGTTGCATATGACGCCATATTGGTGGATTAAAATATTACCCAGTAAGTAAGTGATAGTGTTAAATTTTACCGGTAAGCTCTTACCGAGTAAGTGTTTGGTAAACGGCCCCTTAGTTTTGAAAGTGGACACTTATTTTGGATGGAGGAGTAACTTTTAGCATGAAAACTTTCCAGAGCAGGAATGTTGCAATTTTTATGGGACATACCAAAAACAAATGTTGCATTTCTCTTCGAAAAAATGGGCATTATTAATTTAGCTACTATACTTTATCAAATTCAAAATTATGTCATAACGGCTCGTAATGTAGGAAAATTGAAAATTCGCAAGAGAAATGCGAATATATCTCTAAGTGAAACAAGTGGTATGTTATGCTAAATTGACTTGTAGCTTTCATGATGCCTACTAAGACACTAGAATTGGTCACACGGTGCTGAAGCGAAGTAGGTTAGGCTCCTGCGACTTCAAAAACGACATCCAACAAGTTTTGTTCAATTTTATTCCCACAAAGCAACAACACTATCTTTTTTCAAGAACTTATTGAAGCATAAAACATGGATAACAGTTGAAAAACCCAAGTTTCAAAGTAAAAAAGATAGCAATAAATCTTGTGCAGAAGAATAAGAGTGTTTACCTGCTGCAGCCAAGGGATTATTGAAATCATGAATTGTTGTTCTGACAAGAAAGACGCCAAAGTGCTGACAATCACATTTGCAGTCCGGGGTGATAACCTTTCCAGAACAGGGCCCGTTTTATCAAGAAGTTCGAATAAAACGACCTCATCACCAGAATTCAGGGCATCAATGTATGCAGCCTCTATGTCTCCTTGTGACAGACGACCTTTTATTACTTTCCGCAGGCTATTTTGCACTTGTAAATCATTACATCTGCCACTGTCAAGAGAAAATACAGCGTCCCCATTTCTATTTAGACTGGCATGGTTTCTACTTGTGGGGTCCATCCAAGAGTCTGCTCGTTGGTTATCATAATTTCCAGATTTACCCCTTCCAAATGTGCATTCATCTGAAGCATCAGCTTGTTTTGGAGGCTGCAATGGAGATTTCCTATTGCGTATATCCACAGATATCCTTGGGGTGCATGTTGAGAGTCTAGGAGCAGCAGTAGTGGAACTTCTCGTCAAAAATTTGACAGTTGATTCTGAATGTCTTTCTCCATGAATGAAGTTTTGTGCCATTCGATCCACCACATGTTCCAAACTTGACACCTTTAACTGTGTTATCGACAAGCTATCTGCTGTCTTGGTAGTGAACACCTAATAAGAAAATAGGACAAATAAGTATGTTAAGAAATCATGTGGCTGTAAGAATTATGGAAGGGGGAAGTTCAAATAAGAATCGTAAATATTTTGAGAACCTGAAACTTGCTATTTCATGAGTTATTCATGATAATAACCCTAAAATATTCATGAATAACATTCATCGTGAATATTCATCGTAAATATCTATCATGAATTCATCATGAATATCATAATTTTCATTATTGATGATATTTATCATAAATAACTATCACGATATTCATCATGAATATCAAGATATCTATCACCATATTGATCATGAATAGTTGGTTCTCCTGTTCTAAAAATATTTATAATTCTCATTTGAACCTGACCCATTATGGAATACTTGAACTCAGCAAAATCCTAGCATTAAGATCTAGAAAATTTGATTTAAGACCTGCAACAGATCTAAGAGATTGGACTGTTTGTTTTCGATATCTATAAGCTTCTCTCGAAAGAATGCTATTTCCATTGCTGTTTGCATGCAACAACCATGATGAGTTTCAGAACTTGATTCTGTGATAGTTGAGTCAAGACTTCTACAACCCTCAATCTTCGCAAAGTACCTCTGTTCTTCAGTACTCATTTCTTTGTCCACCTGGAATTGATTCACTCCTAATGAATTTACCAATTTACCCTTCACCTGGCAGTTCTCAGTAGTTGGCACCAACTTGGCTTCGAATTTTTCAGTTTTGATATTGGATGCAGAAAAGAATTCAAGTTTGTCATCCATAGGCACATATTCGAAGCCAATATCTTGAGTACTAGTGATATCAGATCTAGTCCTTTCATATGTCTTTGTAACAGAACTTCCTTCAGATTCTCCATCAGGAGCATATGCTAGAGAAACATTACGAGTATTTGGAACGCTGACTTCTATATTCCAATCATTTGCATTGGAATGCTGAGGACTTCCCACATAACTATGGCAGTTTTTTCTAACTGAAAGAGGAACTCTTTTCTCAACTGACTCCCTATGAACGCTTGTATTCTTTACCGCGGACTCCCTGGCACTCAAAATGTCACTGTAATCACCTCCTGAAAATTTTAGCATGATTCACATATCATGTTAGAAAACAATATCAAATATGACAAAATGCAAGGGAAAACAAGTAGCCAAATTGAAACAATTTAAGGCAAAAGATTAGTGTTACCATTTTCATATTTGTTGTTAAACCATGACCATTTTCCATTATATTAAATCTAATTTAGATGCTGAAATATAAGGCTGAGATGTACCCTAGTTGTACAGTCGGGATGTAGGTGTCCCTGTCTTGAAGTAATTGTGGAAAGAATAATACCATGGTTCACATTGTCCTCGTAATCTTAAGTATTTTCGGTACCACAGCCATTAGGAATTAGAGAATCCATATCAACTCCTAGCTGAGGTTGAGGAATGAGAAGGAGCCAATGGTTGAGGGTCAAGCACCCTCAAAGATGTGGAACTAGCAGAAGTCATGTGGGCGTCCAAATTAAAAGAATATCTAAACTGTCTCGTATTGACACAGTCACACTACTTGGATACACTTTGGCAAAAAGGATTCAGCAAATACTTGAACTCCAATTGACACATGAATACATTGACCACAATAATATCTATAAAATGTCCTGTGTACTAAATTAATCGATTGTCAATATAACTTCTAATGTTAAATGCTTTGTGTGGTGATTGTGGTGACTATATGTACCCGGCATATCCATTGACGATAGAGAATAAGTTGTTACTCAATAATAATGTTTGAGAGCTATGGGTAGCTTTTTGCATGTTTTATCATACTCAACTTATACAGGATGCAGAATTAGTAGGTACTCGAACAATCTGAATTACAAGACATATAAGGCAAACTTGTGAATATAAAATGTCAAGGGTTTAGTAATATATATTGGATCTCCTTCATATGGACATACATCATCAATGTGGAACTATGTAAATTTGTTCTAGTACTATTGTTGTCTCTTCTGTTACATGTTTGCATTATATTTATGTTTTTGATATATTGAAGCTTGTGGCTCGTTAAATGTTTTGTTGGATTTTCTGTTATGCATCGATGTTGGGTGACATCTCGTTTGTGATATTTGGGATGCATAGATCTCCAATCCTAACACTAGATCTCACTCCTCAACATCTGTAGCATGAGGCTGTATTGATACAATGGAACAAGTTTCGTAATTGATGCATGCTTTTAGTGATGACTCTTTCCAGTTAAAAGGAATGTCTTGATCCTCTTTTTTGTTCTCCACCTCAAAGATGTTAAACCATGACCATTTTCCATTCTCTCATAACCAATTTTGATCCCGAAATACAAGACTGACCACAAGGTTGAGTAGGCCATGGGTTTCCCCCAAAAGGGGAGGGCTGGTTGGTTTGTGATGCTTAGGGTGTAGAGACTAAATAAAACACCCTATGCCACAAAACGTACTATTTTTAGAAGGTTTTTGAACCTAGTCAGGCTAGGAGGATCTTTTACTAAATATTGAAAAAAGATACAATGGGAGGAACAAAAACCAAATTCCGAATAACAAAACACACATCACACAACATGATGTCTTTCTGCATTTCTCGACGAAAAAACATCAATATCATAGTTGACATTTGCTAAAAACTTACGTTTGATATTCATAATTGTTAACCCGTTAATTGTATCTTAATTCTTGACTGAGGGTAGCCGCAAATACAACTTCAACAAGTCCGATTTTGAGAAACTTCTTTCTTCTGATGCTACAGTAAGCAAAATATTGTAAGCAAGTAGTACATGTGGAAACATCTTTAATCTTCTCTGCTAACTCTATAATTTGAATAGATACCCAAGGCTTTTCTCTCTCGTATGCCTCATGCTACGAAGTGATTATTGTACCCAACACTCTCAACACATAACTATTGGATGGTTTAATGTGTGAGATCATTCTTGATTAAGTAGGTTTGTCACTTTAAATAAGCAAACCAACAAGTTTTATCCATGTTGGTGCGGAAGTGGTGGGACGGGGAGTAGTGAGGGCAGGAGTGAGGGCGGGGTGGGGGTAGGTGGGTGGGGGTGTAGCTGTGACGATAACAGTAGTGGCATGGTGGTCGGTAGCGTGTGGGTGGGGTGGGGGCAGGGCGCGTGGGGTGGTAGCTGTGACGACAACAGTAGTGACATGGTGGTGAGCATGGGTAGGGTGCGTGGGGGACGGTGGTGGGGACGGTGGGGGTGGTCCAAACGAAGATGGAGATTCGAATTCTTTTGAGAGATTCCATTCCAATTCCTACAAACCAAACCCGTGATCAAATTCCATTCCCGTTCCTTCAAAGTCATTGATGGATTCCAATTCCACCAAATTCCATTCTACGAACCAAACGCCCCCTTAACATCATTAATATGAATACTCTTAACTGAATTCATCCATGAATTGCTACATTATAAAACAGCCAATTAACTAGTATCAAAACCACCTAATCACCTAGCATCTTCGGTTGCTATTCCATGATCTTTTGCTACAGAAAAAAAATGTAACTAGACAGTAAGAAATGTTAGTAAACTTATATGGGACTTACCCTTGAGCCTTGATAAAAAGTTATCAAAGATCAATCCCTGAAAATGAAGAAACACGTTTCAAGGAACTTTCTCCTACAGAACATCATTTCCCAGTTTATCCTATAATAAGATTTTATATATATATATATATATATATATATACATATATATATATATACATATATATATACATATATATATACATATATATATATATGAAGGTACTAGGAAAGCCTTAATACATGATAAATAGTCAAATACATAAGAACCTGCCAAATCATACAACTATAACTTCTCTCAACTTCAACTTTGTCACTCTCAATGATCTCTACTTATTTTCTGTAGTTACTTTAAGCACCTAAACTCTAAAGACCAACAAAATGATACACATTCATCAAGTAAATAATCTTTAGGTGGCTAACAAACTTATTCCTGGATTCATTATTAATGATACCAACAAAACGTGTCGCCACTGGCCATGTCAAGATAACCATGTAAGACATGTCATGTATATCAAATGATCCCCCATCAAGCAAGCAAAATGCACCAAAAGGACCCACAATAATGCACAGGTGTAAGAAAATCTCATGAAGACACCATAATGCACTTAAAAGACATATGAACGAAGATATTAACAGCAGTTAGCACTAATTAACAAATAATGATAAAAGGGGGTACCAGTAGTGAAAGATCCAGCTTCTGGAAGTTCAGACGCAACAGTTCCTTTAAGATTTCTCCATAGCTGTAAGGTCTGCAATACTGTGTCCCTAACTGGTTTGACCTGTATGTATACAAGAAGCAACCCTTGAATCCAACATAAACACAATTATTTCGACCCCTCCCCCCGAGATGCACAAAGAGCCCGAAAAAGCCCGGGCCTAGCAAGCCAGGGACAAAGGGAGTAATTTGCAACACATGAGCAAATAGGCATTTTTTGACGACCTAAAATAGAAAGTGGTGCCCTTTTTTGGGACAAAGGGAGTAATATCGGGAGATGTTGATTGCAGAATGAACACTGACCTTGTCAAAGCGACACAATTCAAGGGAACGGATGCACGACGACTTGAAAGAACCAAAATATAATCCATTGGTCGATGCAATTTCTGCTAATGCTGAAGATGCAGCTTTGCGTGTTCTCCAATCACTGTTCTTAAGAGCTTCTTGGATACTAGTCATTGCAGCAGTTAAAGTATTTTGTGTTGACGCCCCGCCTGCCTGAATTTTAAGAAGTTACTCTGAAGTTATTGATATGAAACGAGGAACAATAAATACTAATAAAAATTGTGTTACTATATACTTCCTCCATCGAAAATAAATGTCCACAATGAAAACGGCACGTAGCTCTGGAAATGTGTAATTAGAGAGTAAAGAAATTTCTCCATCTCATTATTAGGGTACAATTGGAAAGTAGACACTTACTTTTACAAAGGAAAGTGAGGAAGCAAATCACATAATAAAGAGTAGGTGGCCATTTATTTTGGGACAAACTAAAATAGAAATATGAACACTTATTTTGGGATGGAAGTAACCAGGGCAATATAATGATCATGTGAATCACACATAACCACAGCTAAAGTTAATTTTCTTAGTGTGCCCTAAAAGAATACAAACTAGGGGATGATTTGAGCAGAACCAAAGCTAAGCTGGTTGGCTCAAACCTCAGCTCTTGAGATGATACAGCTCGGCGTCAGCCCATGAGCTCAGAGAACTCAGGATCTGGCTTGGCTCACCGAAAGCTAGAGCTTTGGCTCAACTATTGTTTCCTTGGCTTGTGTAAGCTTGAGCCTTGGCTTGGCTCCTATAGGCTTCGGTTGTATGAACTAGCATACAACTAAATTAAATCCTTCAAATAAACCTTCTTTAAAGAATCACGATCCTAATTCCTAAGAGGCCGAGACTAGTGAGTTAAAAAGATATAAGTTACACTAAGTGAGTCATATAGGCTAATGTAGGCTCGGCTCATGAAGCTCAGCATAATACCAAGCACAAGCCACGCTATGCTCAAGCTTGGCTCAGGGTTCAAATGCGCAGACTTAGCTACAAGCATGAAAGGCACAAGTTAAAAGAATATCAATATGCAGTAAATATTATAAAATTCTAAGAATACAATCTGCAGCTTGCAAGAAACAGAACTTTCTGTTAATAGTTGCCATTTGCCAAAGAAGACCGTTGAAGTAAATATAAATTATAAATACGTGAGCAAAAAGTCGTACTTCTTTGCAAGAAAATTCATAGTGAGGCTTACATGAGTTGACTCAAAACTGACCTGAATGATACTTCTGTTTAACTCAATAATGGCTGGTTTTACCAAGAAACGTGGATTATTGAGCAATTTTGTCGTCTTTTCTAACATCCTTTGTAGAATAGACACCGGTGGATCCGTTGCATTGTCGATTACCCGAGCTAAACATAAAGCTGAACCACATTGAACATGTTTATTTTGCTCACTGATTGCTTCAAAAAGAGGTCTCACTAATACAACAAAACTTCCCTCAAGCTGACTCTCAGAAGAGCTTAATTTCGATGCTAAAATACCCATGGTTTCCACACATGCATCTCTCACAACAGAATCAGGATCTTTTAGTCTTTTTACTATGCTAGCAGCCATTTTTCCAATGTGCGGACCAATGAGATCCTGGTGGAAGGTTGCGAGCATACCCATGAGTCTGATACATTCCTTTCGAACAGCCTTCTTCTGGTCTGAATCAGTGTCTAAGATGCATGACAAAAATGGGGACACTCCTTCCGGGCTCAAACATTTGATTGATCTTTCAAGCTCCTCAACCCCTATTTGGTATGTATCTCGATCAGAAATCTTGTTTAGTGCCAAAAGAACCCGCTGTTTTAGCTCAAAAATAACCCTAGTGGTGGTTCCTCTTGATTTCAAATGGGTCTGCATCTTCATCTTTCAAACCATCAACCAAATTCCCAATTATCGTGTTTATGGTATCAAACTTCCATTGGAACAGATAAAACAACACTCCTCAAAATGCAAAACGATCACCATATAATGCATCTTCATATTGTTCAATTGAGATCAAGACCAAACAGAACAAACTGCAGGAAAATAGAAACAACTCATTACAGGAAAATAGAAAGAACTCATTACAAGAAAAGGGAACTAATCGTAATACCAAATCACTTCATAAAAACATAAAATATCCCCAAATCCAAAAGAGAATCAGATATATACTGCATCAAGTAAACATCAATCAAGATCACTGTCTGAAATGAAAAAAAAATCCTCTCAGAAATATAACCAAAAGTAAACCACCTTGAAATACAAAAAAAAATGACATTTTCCAATCAATTCAAGTGCCCAGAAATAATATACACCACAATCATATACCAGAAACACATAGCAATCACCTTTTGTTTGTACATAGTTCAAGATACAGAAGATGAGTTCAATTCGACATTGAAATAAAAGAGGGAAAACTTACATTGAAAGGTGACCGACTGCACTCCTCCAATCCGTACATTCAAACCCTACAAGTATAAACACAAATGAAGGAAAAAGTTAGTCAAAACAAGAAGGTAACCAACTTTAATATCCATCAACATATGAAATAAAGTTTAAATCAATCAAAAACGGTAAGATTTGTTTAGTTCAAATCAAGATTGTGGGTCTAATACATACGAAATGGGAATCTGTAATAAAGACGTGTACGCGAAGATCGAGGAAATCATACCCATAAATTTAGAGACAGATAGAAAATTGAGTTTATTATAATAATGTGTAGGAGTTCGTTTTTTCTCTGTTTTCGCGCTTTTGAAACAGCGGATTCGAATTTGAAGGCGTTGCTGTCTTTTATTGTTTGTATTCTCCTCCCTTGGAAAATCCCTGCATTTAGTTCCAGATGGAATGGAATGTTTTTAAAGTTTGATTACTTTGTTGGGTTGGAATTGGAATGAAATATTGGTAACCATCAAAATGTCGTTTTTTAAAAATTCTGAAATTTTTAAAACTAAAAATACTTTAATAAAATAACTATTTAATGTGTAAAACAATATAAAATACATAATTTAAATATAACCATAAACCAAACAATATTATTAAATGGACATTAAAGTTGTTTTTCAAAATAGCTAATCTTTTATCATGTAAAATAGATTGATGGTTCAGATCGACGGTGGTTCAAATCGGCAGGGGCCGACGGTGGTTTAGATCGACGGTGGTTCAGATGATGGTGGTCGGAGGTGGTTCAAATCGGCAGTGGTCAACGGTGGTTCAGATCGACGCTGGGTGACGGTGATTCTGATCAGTGGTAGTCGCCGGTGGTCGGCGATAGTTCATATCGGTGGTAGTCCCTGGTGTTTCAGATCGTGGTTGTCGAAGTGGTTCAGATCGGTGAAGGTCAACGGTGGTTTAGATAGACGATGGTCGGCAATTGACAGTTGTCCAGATCGGTGGTGGTCAATGGTAGTTCAAATGATGATGGTTGACGGTGGTTCAGATGGCGGTGGTCGGAGGTGGGCATATTTGGTTTTATGAGATTAGGGTATATTGGGTCAAGTACATATTTAATATTATAAAAATAAAGAATTTCATTTCAACAAAATACCATATAGTTGCTAAGGGGTGTTAAAGAAAGAGATATAGAACCATATTAGTAAGCATTAAGCAAGGAAATTTGTGAGTTCACCAAGGCTCATAAACTTGAGCAAAATCCAAAAACTAAGGGGCCGTTTACCTAAATGCTTACCCGGTAAGCGCTTATCATTAGGCGTCAACACTGTAATTACTCTACCGGATAAGATTGTAGTACATCAAACTAGTATTGTATGCAACAATTTACCCGGTAAGCGCTTACCCGGGTAAGAGTCGTCACCCTCACTTACCGAGTAAGACTCTTCATCCTTATCATTGCTCTTACTGGGTAAGATTTTTTACTATTGTCATGCTCATCCGGTAAAGAAAATTACCTGGTAAGCACTTACCGGGTAAACATTTAGTAAACGGCACCTAAATGTTTTTCTTGATCCAAAAAACGAATGAAAAGCACTGTAAACCGTGCATTAATTCATCAAAATGCAGCATGCTATTGCTAATTGCTAATTAACCAAAATTGGTTCTAAGAAAGGGCGGACCATCGCCCACAGCATCTCATTGTCTGTGGGCCAAAAGACCGATGAAAATGTTACAAATGATACAAACCAATCAATTAAAAATTTTATGGAAATGATGAAAATTCATTTATTATGATTTAAATATTTAAATAAGATGATTAAAGTTAATTAGTTATGATTAATACTTTATATTAATAAACAATCGATATATTTATGAAATTCAAATATTTATTAGAATAATAGACGTTTGATTTGTAACATTTGATTGAACCTCTATACACATATTGTTATGATATATTAAATATATGATATATGAATTAACATGCTATATGTTGACACATATTATATGTTTATACTTTATGTCTTGTTTTTTGTATTGAATTTAGTTTTTTATAATAACAAACATTCGTTTAAGATTTTTATAATACCTATTGTGCCTTATAACGCACCGGGCCGATAAAATGTTAGGATCACCAAGAAGATGGGAGTCGAGGGGTAAAGTTGTACTGTACAAGCCAAGACTCTGTAAAAATAATAACTCTTACCTGGTAAAAATTTACTCAAAAACTTCTAAATCATCATATGCTTATCATCTATATCCAAATATCTTTATTCGAAACAAATCAAGAAACATAAACCACAAGGGCGGTGTCTAATTGGTTTGAATTTGAGCTCCAAAGGTCAAAAGTGTCTAGAGGTCCTGCGTTCGAATCCAAGGAGGAATAAAAATAACCTTGTAACCATGGAGGTTCAAATGCGGTGATTCACGGATGGTCGCCCTAGGATTAGTCAAGTTGCATAGCGGGCTGGATGTCCAAGTTCATAAAAAAAAAATCAAATCAAGAAAAATAAAGCATCCCTAGAATGTAAACCGAGAGACATATTCACAAGTTCAAAAAGGCTCTGGAGATGTACCGAAAATCTTATCTTCCTAGAGTTCAAATCTAAACGTTGCCAAACCCCTTATGACTATGAAGATTCACCAGTGACAACTCAAGCCATTTGTGATCGTACAGGGGGCTAGTCGATAAGCGTAAGTTGGCCCGAAAACGCACCCTTACCCCAAATAGAAGTTCAAAAAGGGATTCAATTGAAAAATGACGATAAAAAGTGACATGTAAACTATAAAAAAACAACTGAAAGTTTGCTACCCTAATCTTGGTGTACACAAATGACCAACAAAAGTTCAAATGAACCTTAAAACTATCCATCCACAACTCTAAAATATGAAAACAAACTTACGGAATCAAAACCTTTAATTGAGGCTACTACTATTGACCTTCATCCATTTTATCACTTTGAGTACGAGTTTCAGATCTCAAATTGCTGTCATCTCGACTCAACTCCTCGGTATCGGATATCCCCCCAACAGAGTCCTCAAGCGCCTCAAGAAACGAGAGCACGGTGAACTTATCTGAACAAGAAATCAACAAAATTAAGAAAATGCTATAACTAAAAAAATGGGAAGAAAGAGACCGAAGAAAGTTATATGCACTCTGTAAGTAGTGTTTTCATCTAGCGTGCAAGGTGTGGAAAGGGGAAGTACGAATGAAGTGCAAACACAAATATTTATTAATTAAAATCGATTCTACAAGGTAGAAGAAACAAAGTGCACTATAATTGGATGCTAGACATTTGATGAAAATTCTCTATTTTGTACAAAGATCCAATAAACCAAAACCAAACAAGCCCGGTATATCCCATTGACCTGGATGTGTGGGTCTAGGGGTGGGATGTACACGGACCTCACATCTAACCTAAAGAGTAGAGCAGTTGTTTCGTTAGTGATGCCCCTGGTTTGGCGTAAAGTGTGCGGATAAAAAGGATAAAGCTTGCTCAAAAAATTTGCGGAAAAGAATATAAGATGTGCAAAGATCCAATATAACCAGAAATTATCTCCAAGAAAAAGAGAATTTTGCAGCGCTTACATTTACTTGGGTCGACTCCAAACTGAGTCAGGTCTATTTGGCCCGTTTTAAGCACCTGCGTGAAAACCATAATAACAATAAAGAACCAATGAAAAGAGAGTGGAGGGGAAAGAAAGACGAGATGTGGATTCTTACGTAAGTAAAAGAATCTACTTGTTGGCGAAAAGGAGGGCTTTGGAGCAACTCCATCAGTTCCTCTGCAGTCCAATGGCCCTGTAGCCCCACAACAATTATTAGGTCATGCAAAAGTAAAAGAAGCCTAGTCCATCACTCCATCCTACATTTCAGTGCGACCCATTTCAACATTTTGGGGACAAGATGAAAGATGGGGACCACAACACAGATGTTGAAGTCTCACATCGGCTAGACTTCAACCTTTTTCTCCTTGATATATGTTGGAACCCCTCTTCTCTCCTTAAAGGCTTCTTTGGAGATTAATTTGATGGGGTTTCACATATGAAATGGGGTACATTGGTGACTCAGAAACTTGGAGCTTAATGATCATACCTCAGGCAAATGTGAAGCCACTTCTTCAAGTGACAATGTTTCCATCAATGGGAATAACAATTCTGGCTTCAAAATATCCCCCAGTCCTAACCCTACAAAGACAAGTTCGGTACAAAAACTCCATGAGTTAAAGCAAAATGAAATAATTTCACAAACCCATTTTTCTTTTAATTAATAGAATGTCACAAGGCCATCTACCATCGAAAAACTTGTGGATCTTTAATGAAAACTGAATATTTACAAGAAAGAAGAGATTTAGCTGAGATGAAAGAAATACTCTGTATTAATGAGCTGATTAATTTTCCATTATATCAAACAAGTCCTGAATGTGAACTTTTTCTTTCAGTTTATAATTAATAATAAATTCTTCTTATCTAACTTCAAATTTTGTGTAATTCCATGCATGCGGTAAAACTTGATGTACAACTTTTTTTTCCATTTATTAGTAATTAATTATTAGTTTATCATGTTATCTGTCTATTTGATTTACTCTTACTAAAAACTACCACAGTTATGTACAGGTAGACTAATATATGTCAATCTTTGTCATTTAACCATACTTAAATATTAATTTACCATCAGCTTATTATTTTATTTGTTTTCGTCCGTATAGTTAGATTAAAAAACAAATAACAATGCTTAACGTGTAATCTTTTTCTTTTCACTATAAATAAATGTTAAAGGTTCTAATTACTAACTTTTACCATAAACTTTATATTTGGTTAATCTTAGTTACAACTTTATACATGCACTCGACTCCAAAGACATGTAAAGTATAGACAAACAAAACCAAGCACACCAATAAAACCTACACGAAGTAAGGTCTAAATTACAGATAAAATATTTAAACTGAAAGATTCTAAATCCAAAAACTGAAAACACGGAAAGTTCACAAAAACTGTTTTGGAATGTGAGTGATGTTACCTCCATCATGATCGCTTGCCTCCCCTGAACAGTTTCCAATAAAAAAACATAACACTTGTTAGACTTCCACTCGAAATGATTAAGAAGGAAACATTAAGAAGAAGTTCTATGACATGCCTGAGGGCTCGATGTTACTTAAGATTCTCTGAAGATCTGCTAATTTCACAGGCCCTGAGGATGATACATCACTAGTTACTTCTGTACCCATGCTCTGGCCAACCAAATTTCCAGCCCTGAAACAAATAGCATCATCATCAAATGTATCATTGAGGTAAAGATAAGTCTGCATGCATCCTACCCTCAACCCTACCTCTATGTGGGATATACCGGGTTCGTGTGGTTTGGTTTATTAGATGTACCAGTCATAAAAAAGTTATCTCCGTTGTGATAAATTAAATGCATAAAGATTCTTAAAGTCACATTTGGTTTTTGAAGTGTTTTTAGAAATCAAATTTCACATGTTTCATCTGCCATGAGAGTTGAGACTATAGAGTGGAAGTGTTTTAGAAGCCAACTTTTCGTCCAACATGAATTCACAACAAAATGTGAAAATGTCGGGGCACACAAACAAATATTCTAGCCAATCAACAATATCCTTGAAAAAAGAGCGAGAGAACTATTACTGACAACATGCATAGAATACTATAGTGCAAGTCGTTAAATATACACACAGATTTATAATTTATAATATATAAGGGGGAATTTCATTTATAAACCGTAAACATTTTGAGAACCGTGAGAACCAACTACTCATGATGAATATCAATAAATACACATGAATATTATTCATCATGAATATCATCATAAACATTCATGAATGAATGTTTATCACAATATTCATCATAAATATTCATTAAATTTATCATGAATATTCATTATATTTATCATGAATATTCATATATTTATCATGAATACTCATTATATTTATCATGAATAGTTGGTTCTCATGGTTCTCAAATAAACGCTCCCATACACACACACATATATATAGTGTGTGTGTGTGTGTGTTCTGGCTGATGGAGGCTCTTGGGTCAAACAATGGAATACTAATTTTAAAATCATGGTCATCCATCACCTATAATGGCTAGGAATTTGATATAGATCACGATGACTTCGTTTACGTGTCCATACTCTGGACTACCCTCATGTGTCTTCCTTTCCAGGTTTTTGTTGTACACATACCAAGAGATTAGATGGATTATCACTTTATCACACAAAAAGCGATAGCATAGCCACAACATCCTTTCCCTTTTGTGCAAGTCTCATCACTCACTTTTGCCAATATATAATTAAAAACTAACTATGAAGACAAACGTTGTCCACATACCGTGACGAGTTTTCTTCACCAAGAGTTTCTTCTTCGGTAGGGAATTCTGCCACATAATAATTCTCCCATGTGTCAAATTTAGTTTCATATAAGCATACATAGAATTTTGTAATTGACAACTAAGTAATTAGAATCTAGAATGTTATACCAATAATCAAATTAAAAGGGAGCGTATCTAGAAAAAGTAGGATAATCAAATAGGTTAAATATTTAGTAACCACCATGTTAGCATAAAACTTACCACGTGTATTTCCTTTTTACGAAAGGATAAGATTAGTTATGATGAGAATAGTCATGATGAGAATAGTTATGGAACCACGATGCATATGTAATTTTAGCACAAACATTAGCAAAATATCATTTTTCTCCCTTATTTAGACGATATACTTAAAGAAATTCCTAACCAAGTGTACATACTTAAATAGTGCATAGGTTCCAATTTTACATAGATTGCTGTCTGCAAACACATTACAATCAGATCAATTGGCATGTTCATTATACATGTGGTTTAAAAGTTAAGGTAACTTCCTCATTACAAACTTTACGTCATTGATGATTCATGATTGTATGTTATGTCTCATCACTTGTCTGCTAATCTAGACATACATGCACAGATATAGCGCCCTGAGAGATAAAATTGGCATAAAAGGATAGCAAAAATCAACCTACAATTCACACGATCTTACTCCTCATTCAGATGTGTACTACTTTTTGAATGAAAAGAAAATATATCATGTCATATATATTGACGTATTAGAATTTAATGTTCAAATGGATTTCATGACGTATACTACACGTGTGGGTTCTTTTGTAACGTTGTTGTGGCAGGATGTACGCAGACCTTACCTCTACCCCAATGGGTAGAGAGGCTGTTACCATTAAGACCCCCGGTTTGCAAAACCAGAAAACACGTGCGATAAGTAGTAACAAAGTGTGTGTAAACGAAGCAACAGATACAATGTGACGAACAAATTACTAAAGCAGGTGAAACACTAAGCCTGGATGAAACACAGTAAAAACAAGAGCACCTAAGATGAGCATATATTAATGTGACTAGAATACAACACGAAATTTAGCACGAATACCTATTGGTTGATTAAGGTAGAAATTGACTGAGTTGCACAATTCTATGTCTTTGTCAGCCTCGGGCTCCTACGACCGAATTTAAACAAAATATGTCAGTCTCTAACCAATACAACACTTTGTATTAAGAAAATGTAAACCTGCATCCAGAAGAAGCATTTCCGGTCGTCTGTCTGAAACTTCAAAATGTAGACTCTTCCGGAAGCTTGACCGACCTGAGTTGACCAAAAATTACACGTAAAGAATTGCACATTTACAGAAGTTTTTGCAACTAAATTAGACAAGGCTCAGAGATTAAGAGATACCTTCTCAAAAATGGCCTCTTCTGGGAAAACAATCTGATCCTATGTTTACCTTGTGTTAAGAAAAACTCAAAATTCTAATTACCAAACACAGATGTTACTATAAGGGGAAAATAACAATATTCCCTCAAAGAGATTATATTAGGGTTTGACCTGACGATAAATTTTGAACTACTAAAGAGTAAAACAAGAAGGAAAAACAGGAGACTCATCCATTCAATAAAAAAACAGTCAGTTCACTCTTAAAATACTACTCCCTCCGTCCAAAATAATTGTCCACAATGAAAAAGACACCCTGTTCTAGAAATGTGTAATTATTACACTTTTTAATTAACTAAGTGACAATTTTACCCTTAATAATGGAGGGAGTAATGAATATGTCAATCTCAAAATTAAGAGTAGAATTGGAAAAATAGGTACTTTGTTTTGGAAGTGGACACTTATTTTGGGATAAAGGGAGTGCATCCAAATTCTAGCCATCCTTGTGCATCCAAATAAATCATAACCATCAACATTCCTTTTACCATTTTGTTACTTCAAGGTACACTCCAAAGAAAGCAAGTTTGACACTTGTATCGACCACCAAATTGCAAATAGGAAGTGTTAAAGCCTCATGCCAATTCATGCCAACAATTTTGATGAATAGAATAAAAAATAGGATACATCTTCAATAATGTTATTATTACGGTCAAGCCATTGAATATGAACCAATCCTTCCTCACCCTGTTAGAAGTCAAAAAATTAGTACACAACATAAAGCAAAGCTACTAAACAAGCGTTTCTTCTTCCAAAACCGAAACCAAAAAAGCAACAAAAAGCAAAGGAACACTCTGAGGGGGCGTTTGGTTTTTGAGGGATTCGGATTTCTTGGAAGGATTTGGAATCTTTGGTTTATATGGTATGTAAGATTTGGAATGGAATTGAATTCCATTCTTTATAGATAATTTATAAAAACAAATAATAAAAAAATAATTACATTACCGTTTATTAATTGATTATTACAAAACGGATGTTCCTAAAACATTATAATAAACAAATCCAATGTTTGTGGAATTTCATTGAAATCCCGGGATTTTACTTCTGGACTATATCCTCTAAACCAAACACGGGATTTGAATGAAATCCAATTCCAAATCCCACAAACCAAACAGGCCCTGAAAATAAAAGCTTGAATTTTACTAATCATACTCTTCCAATGCGAACAAGCCCTTTACGTGGATCAGCAACAACACGTTTTCCTTCCATATGCATTTTACCAGCACGAAATTCCAACATAACATCCTGCCACAATAACATTACAAAAGAACCCACACATATACACCAAAAAATCCATTAGAACATTAATTTCCAATATGGCAATTCAATTCAACCACAAAATTGGGGATAGAATTGAAGTAAAACCAGCTTCTTAAACAGATCCATGTGATATAAAACCAAACTAGAAAGATCTCAATATTGATAACTCAGCTTCTTAAAACCAGTTTTTGACGCTTAGCATTGAATCACATTACATGTACTTGATTTTTGGTACCACAATGAATGACAAAAAGGATATATATGTACGTATATATATAAAATATCTTCACAGAACCTGAATAGCTGAGAAATCCTCTCTTGATGAAGAATCCATAACTCCAGTGCTAGTTATAACTACACGAAAAATTGTGTGATACCCAGATCATTACAGAGCCAAATCAATGATATAAACGTACTATCAAGTAGCCATCTCAATAGCAAAATAAATATAGAAATAAAATCAATTCGGGATACAACCTTGTAATGGACTATTAACTTCAAAACAATGGAATTAAAACAAAAAAGAAGAGATTTTTACCGAACGAGTGAAGTTTTAAAACCCTAGCACATGTTGTGAAGCTGTAGAAATTAAAACAAATCCGATTGAAGCGGAAAAAGAAACCATGGATTACCTCTCGCCTCTTCGCGTATGAGTTGTTGAATATCGGAGACGATGTCAAGCAGTCTTCAGAGTCGGAATCGGGAGGGAGGGAGAGAGGGAGGGAGGGAGAGATGTCAGGGTTCCCAAGGTATAAAAAATCTTTAATCGTATTTTGAGTAAATTATAGGGGAGTGGAGGATAATGGCAGATTGCTAATACCACTCCCGAACCTCTTATACAATCTTTAATCTATAAACCTAAAATCAAGAAGTAATTATAAATTAATTAATAATAATAAAATATTTGTTTTAAAATAAATTTATATATTTAAAGAAATATTTTAAGAGTATAATTGGAAATTAAGTACAGGAAGAAGAAAAAGATAAAGAGTAATAATGTTAGAGGTAGTATGCATAAGATAATAAGATGTAAACAAAATAAATGTAAGAATCTAATAATATTATATATATCTATAATACTAATAAATAAGTAACTTTGGAGACACGTATCATGTTTCTGTGCGACAGTTATCGATTTTTCCTGTCTAAACATGTATTTAGACACAATTTACACTTACGGCCCCCAGACTTATAACATAACTCTGGAAAAATTCACGTCTGAATTTAACTCTGGAGTGGTCATCAAAACCGGGTTTAAAATTTCAAATTCAGATTTTTGAAGCATTTTTCACAAAGCAACCCGGGAAAAAAAATTAGAAGAATATGTACTCTTACTACTTAATTAATTAATAATAATGTAAATTTAATTAATTTATATAGTTATTAAAAGAACTAGTTGTGTACCCGCGCAATGCGGCGGAAGCTATGAATTTTAACGATTTTGAAGTTCCATTGGTTTTATAAGATAAGATTTAACGATGATATAGTTACACTTGGTCTTTACATATTAATACAATTTGAATAAATAAGAGTTATGGTTCCAATTACAGTTATAGGGGTATAAAGTATAAATTTAAAATTATAAGTTTAAAAAAATCGGTTGTGAGACGATGAGTGTATGTGAAGAAAAAAGTTGATGAAAAAGTGATATAAAGAGTATCTTGATCATTTAGTATTTTAAGACTTACTTTTGTTAAATTTGTTTTATAAGATAGTATAAATATATACAGAGAGAGAGATATTAATGAGGGAGGGGGTAGGTGTGGTTGTGTTCTTCAAGTCTTTTCACTATGGGGAATTGAGAAAAAGAAGACAAAAATGAATGGTTTATGTGTATGGGAGATGTACATATATAGATTTTGGGTGTAAATATAAATATATATATATAAATATAAAGAAATATAGATATAGATAGATAGGTGAAGGGTTGCTACCGCCATCCTAAACCCCACCCCTTGTCAATTCTCATACATCCCTCATTCATCATCCTCCTCTCACATCACAAATTTTTAATATATTTTTTAATTTTAAAATTACATTTTACATCCTCCTCCATTGTGGCCGCTTTCTTCTCCTGTATTCACTATCTGCGACCATTTTACCACACACCTCGTCTGGGTCAAAGTTATTTGTCGATGATTGAAGCTCGTCGAAGGTGAACACCAGCGGGAGGAGGCTGGCGGAGCGATGGCGGTGGAGGTAAATAACCATCAGATCTTCTAAATGTGAGTTCTTTCTTATTCTTCTAGAAATGTATGTACTTATCAAGATGCAGTAGAAAACATACAAATAGTACAGCTAAAGACATCATTGCTACTCGTATTTGGGTTTTAAAACCTCCGGTGATGATTTTTGAGGTTGGATTAAGGATTGAAAGCATAAAAATGGTTTATTTGGAATGAATTGAACCCACAAACGCCATTGATGGATTTGAAAGTTGTGCAGTTTGAAAAGTAAGAATCTTTTTCTTCCCATTCAACTTCAATTCCAAATTTCAAGAAACCCTAAAATGTCATATTGGCAGCCTTTTTTATAGAGTTGTGGAGGGTGAATAGATCCACAAGAACGGATAATCTGAAGTGGATTTTTGGTAATTTTACATTCCCATGGACAATGGCTGCAGTTTGGGAGGGTTGGGGACAGGCAATAGCTTATAACTGCATTCTTACTACTCTCTATCCTATTTTATTTCTTCATTTAAAATTGCTGAGACATGAGAAATATTCATATCATAGTCATAACCATTGTTTATTAAAACAGTCAAGGCTTATGTCAGTTTGCTGCATTACTCTTACGTGCTCCATAATATCAACTTTGTTCGTCTAAAGAGGTATCAAGAATGCTTTTTTTGATATCAAGAATGCTTTTTTTGCCAAATGCACAAAAATGAAATGGAAACARCTAGCTTTACACACTGGATGCTCATTGATCAATATTCCAATCTACTGAACATCTTGCCCAATTAGTAGGAACAAGAATGAACCAGTAGGAATATGTTTAGAACACATACAAGAAGAACCAAAATATTCCAGAACATGAGTAGAGAATGCAAACAGTAGGAATATAAAGAGAATTCAGAAAGCAAAATTAAAACCTCAATACCTCAGAGAAATTGCTAGGGTTTTGATAGGATTTTGAAGTTGTGAAGAAATCAAAACCTCAAAAGTCTGGTTATATGCACCGAGGAAGGCTTCTTGGTAACCACCCATTTATGCAAAGTTTGCAGCAATTGAAGAAATCATATGCTGACTTTACTGATTTGGTTTTGGTGCAGAACATACATTAACAAGAACCTGGAAAAGAAGAAGAAAAGAGAAAGCAATTTTGACTTTACCCAAATTGATTTGGCTTTGAAGGATCTTTTCTGGAAAAGGAAGAGAAGAGAGAAAGAAGTCTGAACATTTGTCATTCAATGCATAAAAGCTTGTACCACATGCATGATGAGTTGTAATTAAGAGTTATTTGAAAATCTTGCATAAAATAGTTGTAACATATGCTTAGTAACTTGTATTTAAGACTTTGTCTTAAATGGTTATATATGTAGTATAGATATTAATACCTCATTAATTAATAATAACATAAAGTTAATTAATTTATAACATCTATATACGTAATAAATAAGTAACTTTGGGGACACGTGTACTTAATTAATTAATAATGTGAATTTAATTAATTTATATAATTATTAAAAGAATATTAATACCTTATTAATTAATAATAATATAAAGTTAATTAATTTGTATACATGCATATCTATAATACTAATAAATAAGTAACTTTGGGGACACCTGTCATGTTTATGTGCGACGGTTATTGATTTTTCCCGCTTAAACATGTATCTAGACATAATTTTCATTTACGTCCCCTAGACTTACAACATAACTCTGGAAAAATTCACGTCTGAATTTAACTCTGAAGTGGTCATTAAAACCGGGTTTAAAATTTCAAATTTGAATTTTTGAAACATTTTTCACAAATCAATATTACCCGAGAAAAAAATTTAGAAGAACATGTACTCTTAGTACTTAATTAATTAATAATATTGTGAATTTAATTAATTTATATAGTTATTACCTCATTAATTAATAATCCTCATTAATTAATAATAATATAAAGTTAATTAATTTATAACATCTATATACGTAATAAATAAGTAACTTTGGGGACACGTGTACTTAATTAATTAATTAATTAATAATAATGTGAATTTAATTAATTTATATAATTATTAAAAGAATATTAATACCTTATTAATTAATAATAATATAAAGTTAATTAATTTATATACATGCATATCTATAATACTAATAAATAAGTAACTTTGGGGACACGTGTAATTAATTAATTAATTAATAATAATGTGAATTTAATTAATTTATATAATTATTAAAAGAATATTAATACCTTATTATTTAATAATAATATAAAGTTAATTAATTTATATACATGGATATCTATAATACTAATAAATAAGTAACTTTGGGGACACGTGTCATGTTTCTTTGCGACGGTTATTGATTTTTCCCGCCTAAACATGTATCTAGACACAATTTTCACTTACGGCCTCCAGACTTACAACATAACTCTGGAAAAATTCACGTATGAATTTAACTCTGGAGTGGTCATCAAAACCGGGTTTAAAATTTCAAATTCGGATTTTTGAAACATTTTTCACAAAGCAATATTACCTGGGAAAAAAAATTCTAAGCTGACCTGTCAGCTCGATCCCAGCCAGGGGCTCTGCCCCTTGCACCCCGCCAAGGGCTACTGCCCCCGGACCCCTTCTGTTAGGGGCTTCGTCCCTAAATCAAAATAAACTCAAACAAGTGTGCACTCCGCACCTTCCTTACCTGTTCAATATTTATCATGATTACATTGGTCAACAATTTAATCCGATTACACTTTAATGACATTTGTGATACAAATCATCAACATAAAGTCATCAGATATTGATTATTTCTCAGACTTACAACATAACTCTGAATTGTTCTGTTCCCAACTTAGTGATATAGTTTATTCCCATATTTGAATACAACTCTAAACTCCTCTTCAGAGTTACGTTTCTGAGTTATAAGAAATCAAAATTCTTGTGACTCAGAGTTATGCTCGTAGATATTTTCTAGATTTAGAAGACAACTCTGAATTCCTCTTATTCAGAGTTAAGTCCAGAGTTATTTTCCAGTCTAACAATAGAATTCCGAATTCTTGTGTTTCAGAGTTAATGTTCAGAGTTTTCTTTCAGAGTTAATGTCCARAGTTTTTCTCATTTAATAAGAGCCAAGGACAATCATTATCAAAAGTTGGTTTATTTATAAGACAATGAAAATTTTATACAAACTTGTAGCATTGGCTAATTTTAACAATTAACTCTTGAAAAAAACTTCACACTTGTAGCCAGATTGGTCGTCTTGATTTAAAAGTCTTGCAACGCTAGATATTGTCCGTCGTGAACTCTGGAGGATTTCTTAACCCTTGTATTTGTCAAGCCTGATTTCGTCCTTCATACAGAGCTTAACAGAGGTTCTGCACGTGCTATGTGGTCAATCTGAACCAGACTCCATGTTTCATGCAGAGCTACACAGAGGTTCTTCATTTAAGTCTTGAGAAAGAGCTCTGTCTCTTCACGTAATGCGTCGAGGCTTTGTCTCTTATGCCGAAGATGGCCTTCAGACTTGTAACTTTGAATAGTTTCGGTCTTAATCTCTGGAAACTTTCTTTATGCTTGTGTCCT